GTGGTTGAGAGAGTGGTGGCAGATCAGCTTCAGGCGCTCTTAGACGAAACCAATGCTCTGGACCCATTTCACTCGGGCTTCAGGCCGCGCTATGGTACAGAGACGGCACTGGTCGCACTGCTGGATGACCTATATCCCCCTAGTTATAACTGAAGACAGACTTCTAGTTTGGGAGGGGCTTAACCAATGTTCCTTCTAAGACAGCAATGGTGAACCTATGGCATGCGTGCCACAGCTGGCATGCAGAGCCCTCTCTGTGGGCACGCGAGCCATAAATTGCCATCGAGAAATACTTACCCATCCTCTGATCCTGGATTTTGGGAAGGAAGGGAGGGAGAGCCAAGATGACAATGGCTGTCGCCACCACAAACATACCCATACCCATACACACACACACACACACACAAGACATGGAAACACCAGCTCCTGCCACCTGCACCTCTAAGAATTGCACCCAGAGGCAGAGCGGGGAGTGTCCTGGGCAGGCACTGGAGGCTGTACAGTGGGAGGAGTGGGAATCTTCAGGACAGTCGTGGTTGGTTTTGTGTCACTGGTTTAAGCCAAGTCAGCTTGTGAGCAGAAATTCTACTTTGTGACCTCTGACCTAGAAGATCTACTAATCTCTTGTTCATGCCTCTTTTAAAAATCCCCAATTCTGTGTGCCAGACCCAACATCCCCTAGTGTAAATTAGAGGGAACTTCGGTTTCACTTTCAATGTGGCAACTCTTACACTGCAACTGCAAGGCTGAACGTGTTCGCTTGGATGGTGTTCCCAATGACATCTGGGGAAAAGTGAGTTTCTATCTTCTTTTTACATTCCAGTTACTTCTGTTATCATTACATTGTATTTGGGAAATGGAACACTGGGGGAGAGTAAGGTCTTCCTCATTGAAATAGCTTCATTTGCCTGCTTGCTGAAGTTGTTGTGTTTTGCTGGCTATAGGATGTGTCTATATATCTACATAAGAGGGCACAGTCATGTTCTACACCACTGTGTGGCCACTGTGTGACAGAGAGTGTTGTACTAGGTGGGTCATTGGCCTGATCCAACATGGCTTCTTTTATTTTCTTATGAGGATATTTCCTACAATGGCAACCTGGCAGTCATTTCACATAAATTTAATTACGTGATTTTTAATAATAATTTATTCTGAATGAGTTTTTAAGTTAAGAGTTTTTAAGCAGTCTTCTTTGGAGTCATGGCCATGGGCACTGTTCTGAACTGCCTGAAAATGTGCTTGTACTCACTTATAGAAGATCATCCAGGTGGACCGCTACTCTGAAATCATTGATGCACAATGGAAACAAAGATATTGATGCTGAAGATCTGTGCTGTGAACTTATAGCAATAGCTCAAAGACTTCCAAAGTCTATGCCACCACAAGGGGTACTTCTCTTCATAGTGCAACAAAAACTCCTGGATAGGTGTGCCTAATGTTTCTGTGTCTCTAAGGATCCTTCTCACACTTCCAGTATCAGTGGGTAGTGGTGAATGCAGTTTCTCAAAGCTCAAGCTTAAAAAACATATTTATGCTCAACAATGCTTCAAAGTAGACTAGTTGGTTTGGCAACTACAGTGGGGTCTCTACTTAAGAACTTAATCCGTATTGGAAGGTGGTTCTCAAGTGGAAAAGTTCTTATGTAGAATCTGCATTTCCCATAGGAATGCATTGAAAACCATTCAATCCGTATCTGCTCTTTTCCGTCCATAGAAACTAATGGGAAGCTGCTATTCCGCCTTCTACCACTAGAGGGGGATTTTGTTCTTTTTTTCCCCTTAGGTCAGGGAACAGTGTTAAAAGCACTTCTGACGAAGCTAATTTTGAAGCAATGGACTGAAAACCAATTAATCCGTTCTGGCTGTTTTTTTTATGTAGAGGTGCGTTCGTACATTGAAGCATTAGGAACTAATGCAAAGCTGGTTAATACGTACTCTACCACTAGGGGGAGAACTTTTTTTAACCTAAGATGACCTAAGGTTAAAAAAAGAGCAGGAAAGTTTTTTTTTCCCTGTTCTTATCTGGATTTTTGTTCTCAAGTAGAAGCAAAATTTAGCAAATGGAGCTGTTCTTAAGTGGAATTGTTCTTAAGTAGGGACGTTCTTAAGTAGAGACCCCACTGTATATCAATTGAACATGTCATTGATATATCAGTTGAGCATCAACCATTAACCTGAAGGAATCAGTGAAAAAAACTGCAAAAGAAAAGGCATGCAAAATGAGACTTTGATGTGGCAAAAATAGAAACATTTAAGAGACATTACATTTCATAGGATTATTCAAAATGATTTGTGTGCTAAAATTGTTTTGTATTTGAGAAAGAAAATTGAAGACTGATCTATTACTTGTTCTCTCAGTTTTTTAAAACAAAATTTTCACAATTTGAACTTTTGAACTTTCTGTTTTTCCTACAATTTGTGATGTAAAGTGGGAATCAACTTCCTGTGATCCTAATGAGGATTTCAAGGTAAGTGAGATATTTAAGAAGTGGTTTTACCAGTTCCATATCCCCAGTGAGTTTCCGTGGCTGAATTGGGATTAAAATCAGGATTCCTGAATCACTGTCCACCATGCTAACCACACACTTGGTATCGACACATCTATACCACAGTATTGTTGCTACATTTATTAATATTCATAACTCCTGCAACGCATTGGGCACATATGCCATTACATTATTTCCTGTTTGCTCCTATGCACTTTGTAACTTATATATGAATGATTTGTCTTTTTTAAATGCAACAGTAGAAGTCAGTGTTCCATTAATCAAATCTGACTGGAGATAAAATGAATGCACATTATTCTTATTGTTCATAAAACCAGTGCCACCCACAATGACTGATTTCCTGAAATATTTTCCCAGATTTCGTAAGATAACATTCATTACACAAAAGGGATGAACACACCTCATAATCAATGTTCAAGTCATCAGAATCTCCCTTCGTCCGGAAGTGCTGCATGTGCTTATCCACTGTGAAGTTCACTTGCTTATTGAATCGTTCAATGAGAACAGAGTGCCAGTGCTGGTCATCCAGGAGGCTGCCCAAGGTGACTGAGGTGTGGGTGTTACTGAAACGTAGCTTGGCATCTCCTGCAGAGGCAATTCAAGAACATGGTTGTGACCTACAGATTCTTTGTCTATGGCTGGACATCTGTACTTCAGAACAGCCCACTTGCTTCCCCAAAGTTGCTCCCTTCCATTTCTAAAGGCTTCCCCGGGCACAAAAATGCAGCAATTTTGAATTGATCCGCCAGAAGGAATCCTTCCGACTGCATTTCAATTCATTTCAGGCAGAGCTATGCACAAGACTTTCTCTGAAGCCCAACATCAGAAATCATGTCTTACAATAAGTATTAGTAATTCAAGAGGTCTAATAGAAACAGGGAAGGCATAAGCATGAAACATACTTTCATACATATAACTGCTGGATAGCTCAATGGTTTAAGGATCAGGCTACAGAGCCAGAGGTTGGAAATTCAGTTCTCCACTGTGCCTACTTGATAGGGGCTGGACTTGAGGATCCATAGGCTCCCTTTCAGTTCTGTAGTTCTAAGATGTTAAGACAAACATTCGAGTTCCAGTAAGCTGTTAGAGGGGGAACTAGAATGTAGGTGAAATCTGAAAAGTATCCCGGCAGCTCTGTTTTCAAGCTGTCACAATAATCACCTATGGTGGAATATATGGAATCCATTACAAAAAGTTTGGTTACAAGGTAATCCTGGGGTATAGATGCTATTACATGTGCCATTACAATATAAAGAGAATTGTTACATTGCCTGTTACCCAGTTTGAAAGAGCATTTGAGTTTGTAACACTTAAGCGCACCATCTGGATTAACTGAAAATCTGCAGCCTATAAATGTATCAGATGTGTTGTAATCAAGGGTAATACAGTCCAATTACTCTTGGCATTTCAAACCATTACTCCTGATGGATTTTATTTTAATTTTAATGAGAGTCATTGTTACCAAGACAACTTCAGTCTTAAAAAAAACCAACAAACAAGCATGCTAATATTTTGTAATACCACAGAAGAAATACAAAAATAAAATGATATTTACACAGGATTGGAGATGGGGATATTTGTATTTATAAATATATATGAATATCCCCATCCCAGATGGACCAAATGTGGGTCTGGCCCCTGGGACTGGATCGTCCATTCAAATGTCCCAGTGCTGCGAAGGTCCCGCCCTTCCTGCCAATGGCACCTGGAGCTTTGCTGTCTTCCTGCTCAGCTGGCCACTCAGCAGCCATGTGGGGAGACTTGCCCTCCCAACCCCTGCCTGGAGTGGCCAGCCCAGCAGAAGAGAGTGGAGCCCTGGGTGCCACTGGCCAGAAAAGCGGGACCTTTGTGGCATCAGGACATTTGGTCCGGTCCCAGGGATGGGACCCTCATTTGGTCCAGCTGAGATGGAGAAATTCGTATTTATTTACGAATATGAATATTCCTATCCCTACACAGGATATGCCCAACCTTTGTTCTAAAACAGTGGCAAAAACATCTCAGAAGAATTAAAGTCAACACAACTATGTACAAAAAATATTTTAGAATAAAATAAAATCTACAAACAATAAGAAAACAGCAATTAAAAAATCCATTAAAATATTTACACTGGAAGTAAAGTCAATCCATGTAAGCAGTGACTGTGAATGAATAGGATTTCAGATCTAGGGCGCCTACAAACCATACCATTTTATTTCTCATCCATATAGATTGCCATGGATGGCTGCCTCCTTTTGTTCCACAGCCCCAAATGATACAGCCTTCAGAGGCCGATTCAGCACTTTTAGTTTTACTCA